TCTCTGCCTCCAGATAATAAACTGTAACGACTGTGAATACAACTCTAAGTATTTTAAAGATATTTACAATAGTCTAAAAGTAAAAACACGTGTCATTTGAGTGGCTTACCCTTTATAACAGGTTCATCAATGTGTGGCCTGGGGACCAATCAGGGACTCTTCTGAATGTGTTTAAAGGGCATTTTAGCTCATTAGCGGTCGTATTACATGATAACATTCATCGAGTTGATTATGTTTTGACAGTTATTATTTAAAGGTTTAGTTAAGTTTGTTTTTCTAGCAAACTTTGGTGCTGTGTAGCTAATTTAGTCACGTTTTTTATGAACTTTAAGTCCCAGTTAAGTAATATTTGACGATAACATTTTTAAAGAAAACATCGTCCCAAATTGCAAACTTTAGTTCACCTGTCTTAGAATGTTTTTACATTCTTTTTCAATTCCTTTTTACATTCATGTGTGAACTATTATATCAGGCTAGCCAAAACAAAGCTATTGATAGCTATTTTGCTACAACTTTGCTTACTTAAAGCTATTAATGGTACTATGTGTTCCTTTTTACATTCATGTGTGAACTATTACATCAGGCTAGCCAAAAGCTATTGATAGCTATTGATATTTTGCTACAGCTTTGCTTACTTAAAGCTATTAATGATACTATGTGTATTGTAGATTGTTAGCCTTCATGCTAACGCAAAGTCTGGCTAACTTTTACTCTAGCTTTATGTTAGTCATTTGAGGAAACTCAAGACCATTATTCAAGCTAGTTAGATAGAAATGTATTACTCCCTCCAGAAATTCAGGGTATTCTTCAAGTATTCTTGATCATTTAAAACTTTTTTTTCTAAGTTTGGAGATAGTGGATTTATTTATTTATCTTTGGAGAGTAATTTGTCCTCGTGCTAGTTCATCTGTAGATTAATGTATTTGCTGCTCTTTATGTGTGTACATAAATTACAAACTAATCCAGTATAATTGTATGCACTGAAACTCCCTCCAGAAATTCAGGGTATTCTTGATCATTTAAAACATTTTTTTCTAAGTTTGGAGATAGTGGATTTATTTATTTATCGAGTAATTTGTCCTAATCCAGTATAATTGTATGCACTGAGTATTGTTGCATCATGGTAATGTATCGTCAACATCTCAAACACAGTGTAGGAGAAGTTCCTCCTCAGGTATTTCTGTATTATTAAATCTGCCCCCTTGTGGAAACACCTCCGCTTTAAGATGTTAAACAACAACAACAACTTATATGCACCACGATGGGGGTCATTCTCAGAACACTCGCCCGGCGGCCTGCACAGATTTGTCCAAGGACACTTCTGCAGAATGGAAAAACTTTTTCCAAGCATTAAAAACAGTGCTGCAGGGTTCAACAAGTGACCAAGTCAGAGCGAGACGGGACGGACTCCTAAATAGCGTCTGCATGACCCGCAGCCATCGCTCTGAACCGTTTCTTTTCTAAAATGACTTGTTACGGACTGGAAACCTCACGCAAGGTCAGAGAAGTCTTCACTTTGGAATCGATAAATGATACATGAAGGAACTGAGTGACGAGCTGCGATAACAGCCCTGTGGTGGCATCGCTAAATGTGACCCAGCAGATTTTTTTTTTTTTTTTTTTTTTTATTTGCTTGCACCACATGTGGCATGGCAGCCTGTGGTCGCTGCCCTTGTCTGTCCTCTGCAGCGTCAGACGGCAATTTTTAAATAGCCTTGTCATACTTCAGGGAAAGGTAGGGAGGTTCTTTATGACATACAGACGACAGCAGTGTAGACACGTTTTCACTGTCACTTCAGTCTCTCCCCCAGCTTCCCTGGTACTCTGTCAAGCTGCAGCCTGTGATAACATGTGTACATGCATGACAGGATAAAAAAAAAAACTGCAGTCTGAAACACAACTTCACAAAGGAAACATTTTCCAAACCTCACCTCCACGAGAAAAACCTTCAACCCACATACTCCATCACGTCTGCTGGAGCCACGTGTGGCAGGCTGTGATTGGCTGACTGCAGCAGTGTACGAGCCAGTGCCAAAAATTCAATTTTTTTTCTTCTTTTCACATTTCTCAAACATTGCCACGCTTGAAGCTGAATGGAGTCCGACCTCTGTGCGAGTGGTAGATATGAGAGAAAACCCTGGTGGTTTGAAGGAGTCGTGCAGCAGATACTGAGCAAACACATGATCTCTGTGCCAGCTGAGGATTATCAATGAAAACACATGCATAACCACTGAGCTGGAAAGAGTAACAATCAACTGTCATTTGGTTTGAACTGTAACCTTTCTTTAAGTTACAGAGAAGAGAATAAAAACTCATGAACAACCAGCAGAGGTTTCTGCACACAGCCCTACACTAGTCAAGTCTCTGTTTTCTTTTCTAATGAGCCAATGACGAAAGATCCTTTAACAACAAACCGTAACACCCAAACTCCAAGCTAGCCTCGCAGAACGTTAGCTGGAGCACTTATTTTCTCTTGCTTTGTATCTTTCTCAACTTCGAGTAATGTGTCACACGCAATATTTCTAAGGAAACAGTTTGTATTTCTTGGCTACCAATGCTAAGCTAACTGCATCTATTTTAGTTAAGAACGATAGCGTTCCCGATTTATTTTTTGGAGCAGCAGCGTCAGGTCGTCAGCTCTGAAATCGTGACGGTCCAGAACTCTTTTAAAGACCTGTTCCTGTTGCAGTTCCTTCAGTGAAGAAAAGACTACAGGACATTAACCAAAATGAAGCCAACTTCATCAGGGATAGTCGATGAGTTAGGAAGTTAAACTTTTGGGATGTTGGACTATAATAACCTCAGATTAGCACCGTCCAGCAGGTAGAGACACTTTAGGGTGTTTATGTTTTTTTTATCTAGGGCAAAGTAGATTAGACCATTATGGTGTGTCTGCCCCAAGTCTGAAGTTGTTGCAAGTTGTTGTGGACAAACTGAGGCCCGGGGGCTGGATGCGGCCCATTCAGCTTTTTAATCCGGCCCCCGCCAAACTTTTCCAAATTATATAATTTATTTATATTATCATTAAACTTCTGCTTTTTCCAATGCAATACCTATGTTTCCCCAATAGATGGCGTAGAAAGTAGTAAAAGCATTTTAGCATTTTAGCCTTTATGCATGACTTTTACACATCATTTAATCTTAGTTCACACAAACACTCCATCTCTCTGCTCCTGACCCGGCCCTGCTGTCAAATTTTAGGACCCATTGTGGCCCGCGAGTCAAAGGTTTGCCCACGTCTGGTCTACTACATCGACTACATCTACAGTTTTGGGGGGGGGGCTAACATATTTGTTTTTTTTTGTTTTTTTAATCAAACCTTTAGCTATTCTGGCTAACATATTTGTAATCTATTTGTTTTTATTTAATTCTTTTTGAAATACAGATGCCACCTGAGACTTTTCTTCGTGGCCTAGAGCTCTACCCAGGGTTCCTTTCTTTCTTTCTGTTCTCCTCAGCCTTCCTGGAGGTCTGTCATGGTGCAGCCTGTGATAACATGTACATGTGGAGGGGGGAAAAAAAACCTCTCTGTTAGAAACACATCTTACAGAAACATTTTCACTCCAGGCGGAAAAATAAATAAATAAATAAATCTTCACATATTTTTCCAGAGCCGGAACAAACCACACACTGCACGACCTCTGCTAAAGCCACGCGCGGCAGACTGTGATTGGTGCACCGTGGTCCCAGCTGTAATTCTACATTTCTTTTCACATGGATGTTTTCCCAACATTGCGACTGTGAAAAATAAGTGATTTCTTCGACCTCTGTGCGAGTGGTAGATATGAGAGAGGGGCTCGGTGGTTTGAAATGGTCCCACAGCAGATATCAAGCACACGTGTTTCCTCAGTGTCAGCCGAGGATTATCATTAACAACAGCTACATAATCACAGACCGGAGTCTTCCTCCTCTTCCTGCTGCTGTGGAGCTGAGCTCGTGGAGGATAAACCCATTTGCCATGCAGGGCCAGGGGTAGAACAAGTGCTGGAGATAGGGATGGAGCTGCATTTAAGGAAATATTGCCTGACATTAACTATTAATAGTCGAAAAAAAATGACAGTTTATTATCTGTAATGTGATTATTTTTTGAGCCACACTGGCTTTATGGATGATGATATCTGGCCGTCAGCTCTTCCAGAGAGAAATATTCCAACAGCTCGTGTGCAAATTGACTTTAAATTGCCACAAACATAAATGGTCCCTCAGAGGATTAAACTTACTGTGGTGAAATTTCCATATGTCGTCATGTTTTTAATAGACAATTTAATTTAAAAAAAAAAGTGGGTATTGACAGGATGGCAATGAATTTTGATGCCTCAAATTACTCAAAAATATTGTGGCCGCTCTTTCTGCAGCTATTAAAACTGACAGACTTAAATCAGGACACTGGGGATTGTCACGACTCTTCTCTGCAGAGCCAATTAGAAGCCAGTCTTACTCTTATCAGGACAGACTGTTTAACTAAAGTCATCCTGGTGCGCTCTCACTGACCTTCGGTCCCCACTTGTCAAAGACCGAAACGAGAGGTCATCCCGACTGCCCTATTCAAACCGCTGCACTTGTACGTCTCTGACCTCTCGTGTACGACCTCCACCTCACCCCCCTCCCCCGATTCTCAGTCAGTTCGCTGCAGACGTGCGGCTGCATCGCAGCACCCTAACAAAGCTGAACGGAAGTGAGAGAGTTCCACATGGAAAAGGCAATTAACAGTCTGGTGCCCGAGGGACTAAGGCAAAAAAAAAAAAAAAAAAAAAAGCAGAGAAGCAAGGGAAGAGGGAAGGAGAGAGAATGTCGAGAGAAATTAGTGACAGAGGAAGGGATGACGGCGCACAAAAGACCTCCCAAAAAAAAAAAAAAAAAAGCGTCCAAACTTTTTCTGTTTCCAGTTGAATTTGGCGGAATGAGGACAAACTTCATGGTTACTTAACCTGGAGAATTCAGCAGTGATCATCGGCCTTTGGGAACCTCAGTTTGTTTTTGTTTTACCCAAAAAAATACGAGACAAAATGAAACTCCTGCAGCCTGTTCTGTCATTACCAGAAATCCTGAGCTCTTTTTGGAGTCAAATATAGTTTATATTCAGTGTTTTGTAGTCGTTTGAACCCCATTATTTTTCAACATAGATTAATCTTTTTTTTTTAGAGAGAAGTAAATGTCTATCCTGTATACTGAGAAACAGTTTTCAAAGCTACGTGAAAAACATCCTGAAAATGTCGGTTGCTTCATTTCCTGTATTTGTTCAGGTGGTTCCAAAGAGACTCGGAGCAGAGGTCTTCTGTGGAAGCCTTGAACCTTTCAGGGTGTTGGGAAAGCTGGAGGCATTCCCATCAGTCATCCAGCAAAGGCTGGCTAAACCCTGGACAGTTCAGTTTATTCACACTCAGTTTCACACCTTTGGTCAATGTAGTGTAAACAGTGGACCTACTCCTGGGTGTTCTCTAAACTGTGAGATGGAGCTGGAGTCCAGCTGCATCTTCAAATCACATTATTTATGTTTGGTATTGAATAATGTGAACGTTTCGATCGGGCTGAAATACAGCCCCATGCCGTTACAGAGCATGCTGGTTGTTGATAGTAATTCAAATAATCTCATCATGTCTTAAGACCTTTGTCTATTTATATTAATCATATTTAGTCAACCCAAACTTGCGTAGTGTAGCTTGGTTTTCTACTTCCTGACGGTGCCTTGCATTTAAACCTATTTCTCTTGGTTTGTTATTCAGCTTCTGTAGTTTATTCTGACTGTGTCGATATCTCAATGCCCTGACACTCACGCTCTT